GGGGGGGCTGGGAGGAGGAAAAGGAATAGGGATATATTGTATGAAAAAAGAGTTAAAAAAAGGATAATGGAAGGGTCTAGGCAATGGCTCAGTATATAAAGCACTTGCTGTGCAGGCCTGAGTTTGAACTCCCACAACAAAAGTAAAGCCAGACATGGTAAGGCATAGTTATAATTTCAACTGTGGAAACCCTGTAAAATCAAAAATAAGTTAAATATTTTCTTACTGAACCAGGAAGAATCAAGGCATAGTTACAATATAATCAAAAGCAAAAATCCAATACCCATCAGTAGCAGTGTAAGTCAAATGTTCAGTGTCAAAGGTCTAGGAACTCCTGTGGCATGATGGTATGTCGAGACAGGAGAATTCCAGGAAGCTGGGTGGGGAGCCAGCTAGCCTGGCAGACGCAGTAGTAAACATCAAAGAATATCACCTGACTTCCAAACACAATTATATATATGTGCAAGAGTGCACTTTTGTGTACACACACACACACACACACACACACACACACAGAGAGAGAGAGAGAGAGAGAGAGAGAGAGAGAGAGAGAGAGGGATCATGGAAAAAAGTAACAGTATTTAATGAAAACAAATGAAAACAAAAAGTTGGTTTAACACATAGCAGACATTTTACAACAAAGTCATAAACCACAATCTCTTTAATATAGAATAAAAGAAAAAAATGCCTTGGAAACATGCATTGTATTTCCCCTTTCTACCAGCGGATATCAAGCTATCCATTGAAACGGGAAAAAACAATTCCAGTATTTTGAGATCATAGTCAGGTTTTGAATTTAAGACTGTAAGAAATGGATGGAGACATTTAAACCTACGAATATTGGGTTAGGCTTTAAGATAGGAGAGCAGGGATAGCCAGTCCTAGTTTGATTCTGTACAGGATGGAAACAAGGCAACAGATGAAACTGAGTGGCTATGGGAGATAGCCCAGAAAAAGCAACGTTGGTGGACTTAACAGATTAGGGAGAAAAACAAAGCAGGAGAAGGTGAAGAAAGATGCAGGCTTGTGAAGAGCACAAATAGGTGACTGACAGGGAACAATTAACAAAATGACATTACAATCCTAAACATATGCAAAGACTCTGATGCACTTAATTTAATAAAAGCATAGCAGAGCCTGGTTCCCAGAAGTCACATGGTGGCTTACAATCATCTATAACTCCAGTTCCAGGGTACCTAGGATTTCAGGGAATGCCCTCTTCTGAACTTCACAGGCACCAGGCAAGCATGTGGTATGTACACATACACACACACACACACACACACACAGAGACAAGATACTCATACATATACAATAAATATATTAAAAAAGCATACTACTGGAATAAAAGACAGATTAACACTAATCCAATACTATTAGGTGATTTTAATACCCTGCTGTCTCCAATAGACAGGTCATTTGGACAAGAAACAGAAAAACATCAGAATTAAGTGTTAGAGTCACAAATCAAGTCAATGTAACAGATATCTATAGAATATTCTGCCCAAATATCAAAGAATATATATTCTACTCAGCAGCCCATGGAAGCTTCTCAAAAATAGACTAATCCTGGGGCACAAAACTAATCTTAACAAATTCTGAAAGACTGAAATAAGTTCACGTATCCTACCTGACCACAATGCAATAAAACTTAAAATCAACAGTAAACAAATCTTCAGTAAGTACACAAACTCAAAGAGATTAAACAACTCATTATTGAAGGATGAATGGGCTAAAGAGGAAATCAAGAAAGCAATCAAAATTCCTGGAACTACTTTAATCCCAGTACTCGGGAGGCAGTGGCAGGCGGATCTCTGTGAGTTCGAGGCCAGTCTGGTCTACAGAGCGAGTTCCAGGACAGCCTCCAAAGCAATACAGAGAAACCCTGTCTCAAAAAACCAAACCAAAACAAACAAACAAAAAATTCCTGGAACTAAATTAAAATGAAAACACAAAACCTTTGGGACACATTAAACAACAACAACAACAACAAAACACAACAGTCTTGTGAAGGGAGTTTACGGCTTCAAGTGCTATTAAACTTCCTCGTTAAAGAACCAGGGAGCCTGTTTCACTTTCAGTTCACAAAGGAACCCAAACTCAGGTTAAATCTGTCTCTGAGCTTTGGCTCATTGCCCCACACAGGCACAGCTCATGATATATCACTCCAGAAACTGAGCAGAGGAGCTCTAAGCGGCCAAAAAATTTCATTTGGGGATCTCCACGTACATTATTTTCCTTCCTTCAATTTCTCTTTTGGCAAACAGGCTGTCCATGTCACAATGTCCTCTCTCTCGAGGAACATTTCTTCCCTGTTCTTAGATGATGACACTGAAAATATCTGTCCATTTTTTAACCTATTACTCAGCAGGATACAAACTAGCCAGAGACCCTCAAAACAACGACCTCACCAGTAATAACAATAGTAACTTAGGTCATGTTTCCTTAAGTTTCTCTGGTTTTCTTCCAATCTTGTCACTTTTCATTTTTATTCACCGTCATCCTGAGCCAGAACAGGACACCTAACTTATCAGCATCCTAAGGACAGTCTAACCTCAGAGGGAACTATTTCAGAGCTGAAGTTGCTAAAGCTCCATCTTCTCAAAAACTGTAGTCTTTTCTGCTCCCCCGCTCCCAGATGCTCACACATATTAAAAAGTGAGGCTTCTCCACTATTGCCAACACTCGACTTTCATTCTACTTTAAATCCACGTCCACAAGGACTTCTAGGACAAAAACTACTCCATGGAGGGCACTAATTCCCCTCTTCCACTCTGGCCCCAACTACGTGTCTATGTAAACACCCCATTTAACCAGTTGGCCAGACAGTAAATACCAAGAAATTTAGGGACGTTGAGGCCCAAGACGCGCCCAGATCTGGGACAAACTCATGGACTTTGGACGTGGCTTCTAAAGACCTTCCTCTCCTGGAGCCAGGCCCCTCGGCTCTCCACCCCTACGCAGTCGGGAGTCTGCTCACCGCTCGGAGGCCAGCTTGGAGGCCACTGGGAGCAGAGGGACCGAGGGCGACCACCCGCCCGCCCCACTCACCATGTCTGCGCCCGGGGCCTCCAGTGGCTCCCTCCCCACACGGCCCCCCAGGCCCCGCTCCCCCGGGCCCCCCGGCCCCCCCGCCCCGCGGG